TAAAAAAAAAAAAAAAAAAAAAAAAAAAAAAAAAAAAAAAAAAAAAAAAAAAAAAAAAAAGGAGACATACTTGTACAGTATTAAGAGGAAGAATGCCTGAGGTAGCAAAGACTTTTATTTGTCTCTCTTTTATCTCTATTATTGTTAGATGTACTCCTTCTGTCTCCTTAGTATAAGGGATACGTAGCTGCAGCAGCAGCAGCAGCAGCAGCAGCAGCAGCAGCAGCAGAAAAAGGAGCAGAAGCAGCAGCAGCAGCAGCAGCAGCAAAAGAAACACACAAGAGAACGTTTCTTTGCATGCAGCAGCAATAATATGCATGCGCATGCAAATTTAAATTAACATAATATAAACAAATATTTATTTATTTATTTATTTATTTATTTTATTTTATTTATTTATTTATTTATTTATTTTATTTTATTTATTTATTTATTTATTTATTTTATTTATTACTTAGTTAAATATTTAATAATAAATAACTAATTAACCCTTAACAAACATATATATGCATGCATGCATGCACGCATGCATGCATGCAAATAAATAAAATAAATAAACAAAATAAATAAATAAAATAAATAAACAAAATAAATGAATAAAATAAATAAAATAAATAAATATGCATGCATGCATGCATGCATGCATGCATGGCCTACCTCTTCCTCGAAGTTGCATACCCTAGGGGGCCCCCCCTTAGGCTCTAATCTTGTTGTATGACGCTCGGAGACTAGGGGCCCCGGGGTTGATGCCTGCAGCAGCAGCAGCAGCAGCAGCAGCAGCAACAGCAGCAAGAACAGTAAGATGAGCAGCAACAGCAGCAGCAGCAGCAGGCTACCGTAGGTATTGTGCCTATTAAGGGATTCCTTAATAGAGGAGACAAAAAAAGGAGACAAAAGGAGACACTGTCTCCTTTTTTATTGTCTCCTTATTTACTAAACCCTAAACCCTAAACCCTAAACCCTAAACCCTTACAAGAGCAACTGGATCTTCCTTAGATGTATGAAGAACAACTTGGAATGTCCGAGGGTTTGTCTCTGTCCCTTTTAATGACCTATATATAAACCCTAAACCCTAAACCCTAAACCCTAAACCCTAAACCCTAAACCCTAGATAAGGGAAGGAATAAGGAAGGGAAGGAGGAAGGAGACATACTTTATATGAGATATATACATCGCTACATAGCCATCATCTGCACACAAACATAAACCCTAAACCCTAAACCCTAAACCCTAAACCCTAGGTAGATGGATGGATCCATGCATGCAGAGACATGTGGTCCCTTTGAATAGAAGAACAAGGAGACACTTGCTGCAATTGTTTAATTGCTCCTGCTGCTGCTGCTGCTGCTGCTGCAGCTGCAGTGTATAGGCAACCCCACCATCATGCTCCTTATGTGATGGCTGTTTATCTACTGCTGCAGCAGCAGCAGCTCGAGCAGCAGCAGAGTCCTTAGCAGCAAGTGTCTCCTTATGCATAGATGTCTCCTTTTTTATTTTATGTGTCTCCTTTTTGTCTCCTTTAGGGGAACTCTTCTCTTGTGACGACTTCTCGGTGGGGACTTGGGGGGCCCCTCTTCTGCTGCTGCTGCTGCTTTGGGGGCCCCTGCTTCTTTTTGCTGCTGCTCTTTGGGGGAGGAGACCTTTGGCTCTGCTGCCTTCTGCTGCTGCTGCTGCTTCTCCTCCTCCTTTTTCTGCTGCTGCTGCTGCTGCTCCTCTTCTTCTTCTTTAGCAACAGCAGACTCAATATTGGGGAAAGCGCCTGAAGGCTTCTTTGGAGGCTGCGGTCCTGCTGCTGCTGCTGCTGCTGCAGCAGGTACTGGGGCAGTCTCTGGCAGCAAAGGAGTGGAGACAAAAGGCGAAAGTTGTTTTCGTTGCTGCTGCTGCTGCTGCTGCTCCTGCTGCTGTTGTTGCTGCTGCTGCTGTTGCTGTTTCTGCTGCTCTTGTTGCTGCTGTTGCTGCTGTTGTTGCTCCTTTTGCTGTTGCTCCTTTTGCTGCTGCTGCTGTTGCTGCTGCTGCTGCTGCTGCAGCAGGGGAAGGAGAGGAGGTACTGCAGGGCTGCTGCCTATATCTATGCCACGGGGTGTATAGGCAGCTGGTTTAGCTATACAAGGAAAAGGAGACAATAAATCCTTATTTATTGTCTCCTTTTGTCTTGATATTCCTCTTCTGGGATATTCTGTAAAAAAAAAAAAGAAATAAAAAAAAGAAAAAGAAATAAATAAATAAAATAAATAAATAAATAAATAAATAAATAAATAAATAAATAAATAAATAAATAAAGAGGAAGAAAACCCTAAACCCTAAACCCTAAACCCTAAACACTAATACAACTACTGCATGCACTCCCGTAGCCCTCCTCTACAGCTTCATCAAATCAGCAGCAGCAGCAGCAGCCGCTGCTGCTGCTGCTCCTGCTGCTCCTGCTGCAGCTGGGTACCTGTTGCTTTGCTGCTGATAGGGGTCTGCCTCTTGGGGGGCAACAGAGAAATTACCCTAAGAC